CACAGTAATATTAAAATATCTTCATCATTTGGCATCGTGCCTTACAATGTTCATTATCAAACTATATCAACATAATCATGATAAAGAATGCCTTCTATTATTTTTCATCATATATCAATTGAGTCAGCATTTGGTAAAAGAAAATTGACAACAGTCAGACTTTCATGGGGAGGCAGTGGCCTAGTGGTATTATCACTGGACTGTTCAGAGACCGAGCTAATGTTCTGGGGACCTGGGTTTGAATCCTACACAGCAGATGGTGGAGTTTGAATTCAATAAATATCTGGAATTAAGAGTCTAATGATGACCATGAATCCATTATCGATTGTCAGGAAAAACCCATCTGGTTCAGTAATGCCCTTTAGGGAAGGAAACTGTCATCCTTACCTGATCTGGCCTACATGTGACTTCAGACCCACAGCAATGTGATTACTCATAACTGTGCTCTGGGCAAGTAGGGATGGGCAATAAATGCTGCCTAGCCAGTGATGCCCTCATCCCAAAGAATGAATTTTTTAAAAAATTTATAATATATAAGCTACAGGATAACAGTTTCTCTGAAGCCAGTTGGCTCAGACTAAATATGAACAATTGTTGACTGCTAGTAATTAAAACTTAAATGTGTTTAAATAAAAATGTTCAATTCTCCTCTGCTTTGATTACTGCATTATTTAATTAGAAAGTTAATTTAGTCATTTAAAATAGTTTGATCAAAAACCTCACTAATTAGACAGTTGTTCTGACTGAGGGAGAAGGAGATTGTACAGCACGTTGAAAATTTGACAATGGTGTATTGTTATAATTTTACAGCCAATGACCTAACTCTCTTTAAGGAGAGTGTTATCAGAATGGTTGTATTTTTCCAAGGGTTCCCCAGTCAGTTCATCTGTTTTCCTTTTCCCTCCTTGCACGCAGCAACACCATAGATTGTCCCCCAAACACACACGCCATTCTGACTGGGAACTGTATGAGCATTACCCTGTGTCACTTGGTCCCGACCCTGGAACTCCCTTCAGGGGTGTCCCTACACCATATGATGGTTCAAGAATGTGGCTTACCATCACCTTCGCATTGGCAGTTAGAGCTGGGCCACAAATGTTGGCATTGCCAGTCATACCCATGTCACACAAAGGAATAAAAATCTTGTAAAACCGTGCTAATACTTCTCAAAAGTACAATTTTCTATAAACCCCGAAAACAGATCTTCACCACATGATAGGCACCTACAGAATTGAGAGCAAAATTTATTATTTTGCATATTTCCGTTGTTGGCGGGTGTTGACTTTTAAAGTTTTGAAAATTTAAAACTGTTGAGCGGGGTGGGGAGTAGCTCACATCTTCCTTGGTCTTATTCAGCTGTCATGTTTCCGAGGAGCCACTTCTCTCCCCAAATGAGGTGAGCATTGGGCAGGAACATTTATTTGTTATTCTTTCCCTTCTCACGGAGAAAACAAATGTGCAACAAGTTGAAGAGCACCAAACCATGAAGAACGGAGTTGTGATTCTTTGGGCAGATCTCCAGAATGATTTTGAAGCTTGGCCTCTGTCTTAAAACGGAGTTGCTGAAAGATGAAAGAACTTTACTGACTCTTCAAAGCACTCATTGTGCTCTGGCAATGGTCCGAGCAAGAACAGGCACACCTTTCTCTTGTAATTGCATTTTTAGAGCAATTGTGTTGTCGGCAGAATTATTAATTCTGTTATGGGCAGCTATGGTAAGGCTGAGTTTTCTTGTATGATTGTGATTTGAATCAATAGCAAAGTAGAAACTGAGTAAAATATAAGTTATATTCAGCTCTTTGCAACATTTTCATCCAGCTAAATATGACTCGTATTTGGTTTTGTGCTATACATTTTAAATGAACATGGTGCAGTCAACAACATCATTCCAAAGTGCACAGTTCCAAGGTGATGCTGTTGCTTGTACCATGCTCATTTAAAATGTACCAGAGAAAACCAGGCTGTTTGGACCAGCTGGTCTTTGCTGAAGTTTTCACTCCACATAAACCAGATCCAACTCTCAATTCCTCTTTGCATCTTACTCTGTATCCTTCAATTCTCTTCTCCCATGTACATACATCATGTATCCCCTTAACAACTTCAATACTGTCTCTTTCAATTTCGCATTCTCAGCGCTCTAAAGAAGTTTCTCTTAAATTATTTGCAATCTTTTATGAGCTACTTTATACTTCATCATTATTCTAGTTTCACTGGCAACTGGACCAATTTTCCTCAATATCCATTCATACCTGAGACAGGTCTTCACTGGACTGTCACTGAACTTGAGCATTTAAATCAACAGCCGTTTAATTTCAGATAGGGTCATAAAAAGTGATTTTTATGCAAGGTTTACCTTATATTGTGTGGTATTTTTAATTACTGGAAGTGTTTTATTTGTTTAAAAAAACAAGAAATTGGAAGTTTCAAGATTTGGAGCATGTGTAAAATCTTGTCATTAAAACTCATCACCTCAGCTTCTCTGGGACTGAACCACTGTGGGACACAGTATTGCATTAAGCCATGTTTTGTATCTCTGACTAATTAACTATATCTGATTAAATTCTAACCTACGGCAGAAACAAAATGTATTGTTTAAATCTGTGGGAGCTGATGGAATTCCCAAAGATCTTCCTAATGTATCCTACATATTGAATAATGAAACATTAAGATGGGGCATGCAAACAATATGGCACTTCTTATTATGTTCACAAATATAAAAGCGCTTCTGTCAGCCTTCTGGCATTGGTTTTCAGTTGAAAGTTCTGGGCTGCGTACTGTACAAAGAACATGAAAGCATTGCAAAAAACATTTACAGAGGTGGTTACTGAGAGAGTGGACAGAATATGTCATAGGAAGCCATTGAGGCAAGCTGCTGAAATGCTTTCAAAATATAATTATAGAGGATGCTGTGAGTCTGGAGTTACACATAGGCCAGACCACATAAGAATGGCAAATTATCTTTTGTTGTCTAGCTTTGAGGGATGAACTGAGTTCAAACAACTTGTCTTCTTCACTTCATCTTCAAAAAGGTTCAGCCCAACCGAGCTTTTCAAACGTTGCTGCACACTGATGTTGAGAGAGGGTTCCTGGACTCAGCTACTTTTCAAATCCCATCAAAGAACGACATGCTGCCTCTAGGTTTGGGACTTGATCAGATGAGGCTGTAGTTTTTTTAAACCAACCTGTTAAGGTGTGTTATCCTGGAGGTGAGACTTGACCCCAGGTCTTCTGCCTCAAACGTAGGGACGCAACTATGAGAATAACATCAAATAGGCTGAAGCTACAACGTCTGTGGACCCCTTGTTTGCACTCAGTTATTATTTAATTCTGTTTTGGAAGAGCCAGTGGGTACAGGTTCAATTGGAAATTTGATCCACAAATTTTTGGTAAGGGAGGAGTTTCTGGGACTCTTTTTCACTGAAGCGTAGGGGATTAAGGGGTGACTTTATAGAGGTTTATAAAATCATGAGGGGCGTAGATAAGGTGATTAGCAAAAGTCTTTTCCCTAGGGTGGCAGAGTTCAAAACTAAGGGCATATTTTTAAAGTGAGAGGAGAAAGATTTCAAAGGGACCTGAGGGGCAACTTTTTCACACCGAGGGTGGTTCATGTGTAGAATGAACTGCCAGAGGAAGTGGCAGAGGTACAGTTACAACATTTAAAAGGTACATGCAGATTGGTACATGAGCAGGAAAGGTTTAGAGGGATATGGATCAAATGTAGGCAAATGGGACTAGTTTAGTTTGGGAATTTTGGTACGCATGGACAAGTTGGACTAGAGGTTCTGATTCCGTGCTGTATGATTCTCTGACGTTATTACGTCCTGGCCTCCTCTGAGATCTTTAACCCATGGAGGTAGGGTTTCCTCTTTGGGGACATATTCCACTAATTTTCCATTCACACTTATTTGCAAAACATCAAAGAGTTAGTTGTTCCGTGAGCCAGTGAAGTTGGGCAGTGTTTGAAAAGCTTCCATTTTTTCTTGCTTTAAGGAATAATCCTTGGTAACCCAGTACCTTTATTGTAATATCAGTGGAAATGAATTTGTCATAATGTAGTAAGCATGTTAAGTAACTGTCTCATGTACCACCCATGAACAACCCAATTCTTAAATGGCAAAGAAGCCAAAACTCAACCAAGCAATTTCACAGCTTGATAGAACAATTCAAAAATTCTACAGCACAATTTCAAAACTGGTTCATTTAGCTAGTCATCAATTGCTTCATAATTTAAATACGTTTTAATAATTAAAAGTTTGTAAAGGATCTCTGATAACTTTATACCAAGAAACAAATTAAATTTTGCAGCCTCCCCGAAGATGCAAACAGACACAATTAGCAAAAAAGAAATCAAAATTGATTTTCTGTCTTGATTTTGGCTGATTTTTGGGTCAACTGTAACTGAGTTTTTGTTCTTTAGTTCTGTGTCCATCTGCAATTGGGAGATGATGACTAATTGCCCATATCCCCTGCTTGAAGAATAAAATTAACTGGGAAATAAAAAGACATACAGGTCACCTTGGAAAGGGGAAGACCATAAGGCAAGGGAGCAGAAGAAGGCCACTCAGCCCTTCTAATCTGCTCCACCATTCAACAAGATCGTGGCTGATCCTCAACTCCACTTTCCTGCCTTATCACATAACCATTGATTCCCTTCCTGATTAAAAGCCTGTCCATCTCAGAGTCTTGAACATACTTAATGACCCAGCCTCAACAGCCTTCTGTGGTTAAAAAAAAGTCACATATTCACCACCCTCTGAGAGAAGAAATTATTCCTTATCTCTTGTATTAAATGGTTATGCCCATTGGTCCTGGTCTCTCCCACAAGATGCCAAAGTTGCTGATTTTCTCCCTGGCCCACAGCTCCGTTAATAACTTTCTTTTTAGGAAGAGCAAGAGCTTCATTGATTTAAAATGCAAATATTTTGGATTGTAAATAAATTGTGAAATTTAAATATTAACGTTTTCTCTCTTGTTTCACCTCTTGCCCCCCCCTCCCGCAGTCGTTTACTCCACCTGTAAATGAGTTCAAGATTGGAATGAAGCTGGAGGCTCAGGATCCCCGGAACGTTACCTCGACCTGCATCGCTACGGTTGTTGGAATCACGGGCGCTCGCTTGCGACTGCGTCTCGATGGCAGCGACAACAAAAACGATTTCTGGCGACTAGTGGACTCGGCTGAAATTCAACCAATTGGAAATTGCGAAAAGAATGCAGGAATGCTTCAGCCACCTCTAGGTGAGAGGTAATGGGGAGGTGGGTGGGGGGTCTTCCCAGAGCCTTCGGTCCTTGGCAGCTGAAGGCATGTTTCGCTCAGGGAGCTTTCAAAGCTCCTTTTGCTGGAGATCCCTGCAAATACTGACCCAGTCCCAGACTTCCAGTAAATGTTTCCTGTATTCTACCTTCCTCCCTTCATGAAAAGAGGGATTATATTTGCTACATTTCTGACTGAAAACCAGGAAGAGGCTTGACGGTCCTCAGTTCTATCAGTTTGCTCAGTACCATTTCCCTAACAATTGTAATTTCCTCATTTCCTCTCTCCCTTCCACCTTGTGACTTACTGCTATTACTGGGATGTTTTTTGTATTCTCCATAGCGAAGATAAAAGCTAAGTGTTAGTTCATTTCATTCACCTGTTTCTTTTTCCAATTAACTTTCCATTCCGATTTGAACGCTAGCTCTGCAGTAGTTCAAGGAGGCAGCTCACCACCACCTTCTTCAGGGCAACTAGGGATGGGCAGTAAATGCTGGCCGGCCATTGATACCCCTGTCCCATGAGTGAATTTTTAAAAAATCCCCACAGACCCCAGCAGATGTTGGGATATAGGCCTCTGGGTTGCCAGGAAGAATGCCAAAGTTTGGAGAGGTGCTTTCTGTAGGTGGCCAGTGTATGGGATTGGCCTGTCCATCTGTGTTGGGATATGTCCCAACAGATAATTCAGAAAGTAATCTGGGAAAAATTCTGAAGCAACTTTATATGAGTTGTCAGTTCCTGTGACTCTCGGGAGTGATGAATGGGCGAATAACCATTCTTGGTGTGAAACTTGGAGAAAGATGCTTTTGCACCTTAAGATTTGGGACTAAGCTCTCCCACGGTTGGAATCTTCTGTAGACATTGTTTTATTGAAATGTTCGGTTGCCTGATATCCAAATTTGCACATAGAGGTGCCTTTCCTTTCTTCAAAACACCAGTGATAGTGTTGCACCAATCAGTGTGATGCCCAACTGTGTGAATGATGTTGTTTTGTACAATGGAAACCAGTTCCAGTTCAAGTTTTCCCTGAATGTGACCAGGGTAACTTATGAGGGGGACTGATGCAGAGTTGGATATCATCATTCAGATGTAACACTGTATCATCTTTAAAATATTCAATAGAATTAAGTTGGTTTGTGCAGGTTGTGTCAGGCCATGGGTAAATTTCAGAGTTGTGGTTTGGGATCTTCCTACTGAGGCATGGTGCAAGATTGTGACTGATATCTTCCATATCTAAGGATACAACAATATCATAGAACATAGAACATAGAACAATACAGCACAGTACAGGCCCTTCGGCCCACGATATTGTGCCGCACTTTTACCCTAAACCTAAGGTCTATCTAACCTCCACCCCTACCTTATACTATCATCCATATGCCTATCTAATAGCCGCTTAAATGCCCCTAATGAGGCCGAATCCACTACCCTCTCTGGCAATGCATTCCACGCCCCGACCACTCTCTGAGTAAAGAACCTACCTCTGACGTCTCCCCTATATCTACCTCCACTCATTTTAAAACTATGCCCTCTCGTAATAGCTATCTCCACCCTAGGAAAAAGTCTTTGGCTGTCCACTCTATCTATACCTCTGATTATTTTGTATATCCTAGGGACTGACTATTTCACCAAATTCCCTTTCGAGATAGATCAAAGATATCACCAGGAACATGTTCAGACATGTTATATGTAACTGGAGCAGGTGGGACTTCAAATTAGACCTTCTGGCTCAAGGGTAGGGACACTACCATTGTGCCTCAAGAACCCATCTCACCCAGGTTAAAACAAAGAACAATATAGCACAGGAACAGGCCCTTTGGCCCTCCAAGCCTGCGCCGACACATTATGCCCTTCTGCACTAAAACTGCCTTCATTTACAGGATCTGTATCCCTCCATTCCCATCCTATTCATGTATTTGTCCAGGTGTTTCTTAAGTACTGCTATTGTGTCTGCTTCCACCACCTCCTCTGACGGCGCATTCCAGGTAGTCACCACCCTTTGTGAGAAGAACTTGCCTCGCACATCTCTTTTAAACTCCGTCCTCCCACCCCTTGCACGTTAAACCTGTGTCCCCTAGTAACTGACCGTCCACCCTGGGAAAACGCCTCATGCTGTCCCTTCTATCCATGCCATTCACAATCTTATAAACTTCTATCAGGTCGTCCATCAACCTCCTGCATTCCAGTGAAAACAAACCCAGTCTATCCAACCTTTCTTCGTAGCTACAAGCCCCCATACCAGGCAAAATCCTGGTAAGCCTTTTCTGTATCCTCTCCAAAGCATCCACATTTTCTGGCAGTGTCGTGACTAGAACTGTACACAGTATTCCAAGTGTGGCCTAACTGAAGTTCTATAAAGCTGCAGTGTAACTTGTGTGTCCTTATACTCAATGCCCCTTCCAATGAAGGCAAGCATGCCATAAGCCTTTTTTACTCCCTTATCTACATGCGCTGCCACCTTCAGTAATCGGAGGACCTGCACACCCAGATCTCTCTGCATATCAATTCACCTAAGGGTTCTGCCATTTACTAGATAATGGTCTTGACCTTCCAAAATGCAGCACCTAACATTTGTCCAGATTAAACTCCATCTGCTATTAAGTTACCATGAGTAATTTAAAACTCATGGTATTATGGTCGCTACTCCCGAAATGCTCCCCCACTGAAACTTAACTCTCCTGGCCGGGCTCATTTCCCAATACAGAGTCCAATATAACCCCCTCCCTGGTTGTACTGATTACATATTGTGTCAAGAAAATCCTCCTGAATGGTCCTTGCAAATTCTGCTGCATTAAGGCCCTTAGCACAAAGCGAGTCCCAGCCAATACAGGGGAAGTTAAAATCACCCACTACAACAATCCTGCATCTTTACATCTTTCCAAAATCTGTCTACATAGCCTCTCCTCTATTTCCCGCTGGCTGTTGGGAGGCCCGTAGTATACCCCTAACACTGTGATTTCACCTTTCCTATTCCTGAGTTCTATCCATACCGCCTCGCTGCGTGAGTCCTCTGATCTGTCCTCTCCCAGTACAGCTGTGAGATACTCCTTTACCAGTAATGCAACTCCCCACCACTTTTACCTCCCTTTCTATCACACCTGAAACATCTAAATCCTGGGACATTCAGCGGCCAATCCTGTCCCTCTTTCAGCCAAGTCTCTGTAATCGCAGGAATGTCATTGTTCCAAGTACTAGCCAAAGCTCTGAGTTCATCTACCTTGCCAATTACACTTCTCACATTGAAACGCTTACACTTGCGACCACCTCCTCTGCTCTTTTCAACAACGTTTCCCTGCCTGTCGTTGTTCTTAGTAATGTTTGCCTTGGTTTCTACCTCTCCCTTAATTTCTGCATCTACTGCCCTACTGCTTATAGATATTTTCTAATGTAGACATTATAGATATAGATATTAGAGATATTTTCTAATCAATCTGTTCAGAGATGTTATACACACCTCTTGGGCAGGTGGGACTTTTACCCAGGCCTCCTGGCTTAGTGAGTAGGCACTAGTTTGGGTTATATGCTTACTTGGATCCCTAGTGTATTACATACATAGTTGAGTTGCTGACTGAATAGCAAACTGACTGTTTTGCTTAACTGGTGATGAACCTGGTGAAGATTATGATTGCATATCTTCTGTACTGGAATGTTGTGGTGTCATCAACCTGTCTTAAATGTTCTGTGCAATAATACAGCACCTTCCCAACCCACTTATCCCTTTGAAGAGTAAGAAACTTGTTCTGGTGAATATATATCACTGCGTACTTTGGTACATTGTCTTTATACATTACGATAATGTTTTGGCAGTAAAACAACCCAATCTGGTCCTCATACAATTATCTCAACTCTATGGTGTAGCTTCTGTCTGTGGTGTGCTGTCTGTTGTTGTGGTTGGATGTGGATCATATGGATTAGATTTGTGATTGTTGTCTGGTTTGGTACTTTCAGTCTCTGAGCCGTTATGATGGATGGTTGATTACCTGCAACTCAGAGGTGTTGTCTGCTTCATCCTAGGATTTCACCTTGGTTTGTAACAATGTTGGATCTGGGCTGGACACAATGTTGTAGTGTCTTTCCAGGAGCCTGTGTATTTGTACAAAAGTCCCAAATTTTGATGCTTCGGTCTGATTCAAGTTGGATAATTGTCCACATGCTTGTTGATCGTTCTCTTGTACCATTTTATTCCTTCTTTCCAACATGGTGTCATGTACATTGGCTGGTTGGGGAGAATGTGTGGTGGAAGAACTGTGTAGATCTGCCTCCCAAATATGAAAGCTGCTGGTGAGGGCCAACCAATGCCTGGAGAAGTAGCCCATAGATTTAACATGACTAGCCAAAAATCGTGGCAAGCAACTTTGCATTTAATGATAATGAACTTTGCCTCACACACATTGAACTCTGCAAGAGCACTAGACTAAGGATAGTGAGGAGCTGAAATAATATTTTAAATACCACCCTTCCTGGACATCTCTTGGAAGGGTACACGAGTGAACTACAGCCCATTGTTGGATACAATATCTTGAGGAAATCAAACATTCTGAATGTGACGGTCAATGTGTCAGCTACAGTGATATGTTCATTATCTCCCAGATTGTGACAATACACAAATATGTGCACACTGATGAGTGATGGAAGGTCCTGCTGTAAGATGGCTAATGCCAATGCATGGGATGTCAGACCCATTGTAAACAGTTAGATTATCATGTACGGACTACCTGAGTTATCTCATGTAGGATGTATAAAGGGATTTGCATTTGTACCAGTGTCAACTTCGACATTCAGTACTGTTGTGTATGCCTTTTATGGTTTATCACTTGGATGGAGGTAAAGGCTTCAGGGTTTCTGATGATGGGATGTCAAATTGACCACATGTACTGAGATAGTAGGAACTGCAGATGCTGGAGAATCTGAGATAACAAGTTGTAGAGCTGGATGAACACAGCAGGCCAAGCAGCATCAGAGGAGCAG